GCGATTGCCATTCTTTGTGTATCTTTGCTAACCGGTAGGCTGTAGGTGGTTGGGCATCCTTTCTTATTAGTCAATTTATCGTCTACCCATCCATTTCACTGTTTCTATACATACCCTTTAGTATAGGATTCAAGTTTCCATTGATGCTCATAGTTGGGTCCTTCTTTGGTACGCGATACATGGTTCTGTCTCGTAGTATACATTCCATCTTCCCAAAGTGTTGTTTCTTGAACCTTGGCCCTATCGCCCCTCATTTTCCCACCTGAAGGACCAAGTGTTCATTAATTTGTAAAGTCATATTTAATTTGTTTCTGTTTGTTGATTTCTGGCGTGTCACAATTCTCAGGATTATTTCCACCTCCATTTCCAACTTTATCTGTCCAGTGAACCTGTCAGAGAAATTGATGTTTGGCATTAAATGGTTATCTAGAACAAATTTTAAGAACATCTCATAAAACGGATTTACTGCTCTGCTTATAAACGAAGAATAAGTAATGTAGTCGATGGTTATAGCAAATATAGCTTTGTTTCATCGACAATCCCACCAAAGAATGTGATACAGCAAAAGACCTGGCCTTCCTTGAAATTTACTTCTGCTCTGTCACACAAGGGCACCCATGGCAGTGTCACGGAGTGATTAAATTGCCGAGCTTACATACTGCGCTGTCATGATTCGACTCCATTTGGCAGTGTTGATAAGACCTAGTCGAGGTTGAAACTGCCGTCCACTCCGTCCGGTATGAGAACAACTTTTGGGAAAGCAAAGCTATGTTATATATTTGGGAAAATTCAACTACCAGTCTTCATCACGAAATATGGTGAATGAATCTCATAGAAGTGGGTTGACGTCGTAGTCGCAACTTGGTCTTGTTGTCAGGGCGACTTAGTAGATTCGCACCTAGTCCGAAGTCGTGTGCCATAGTAGTTGTCATGATTCACAGCATCAGACAGTGGACTTGGTACATTCTCAAACGTTTCGCCAGTCTCCGCTACAAGCTACAAACTCGTGAAAGAGACAAGTAAAGTCAATCCCTCGACAATCGTTCTGCCGAAAACGGTTACACTATCACTCCTCTTTCTCTCATTGTCTATCTATCCACTCTTTACACTCTTATTCCACTGCCGCCCTATCACATTCCAATCATCAAAATGTGTGCCCTTTTGTGGCAAGCCGAGTGTGACCTCGTCACACTTGCTATTCACCCCGAACCCTCTCTTTCTATGGGCTTAACCGACTCGGGCCTCCAATCCGGATCCCCTCATTGTCTCGCAGATCCGTTCCTTCACTTTCTGGTTGACCGATTTCACTCGGATCTAGTCCCAGTGTGCTTCTTAATTCACGCGCTATTTGTCAAGGCCCTAGAAGCGCGTGCATTGCCGCCTCACCGAGCAGTGCGCCTACGCTCTGATTGTCATGCTTGCAGATTTCAGACATTTCCTTCCTCGATTAAACCCGTTATCTGAGCCATCTGTGGACGCCTATTTCTGGTCGCATGCGACATCTCAAGTGGATTTCTAGTCCATTTTGGGCATAACGCCGAATTTCTGTGACGGTTTGCTTATTCATCTGCCCAGCTCCTTGACTGCCGGCCCCGCAAAGTTGTATTGGTTTATTCGAAATTGAGATAACTTACTGACAACCCCTTCCTCCCACTTTCTTCCTCGCGATCCCTTTTCCTCTGGTTAGAGCTAGATCATTGATCCAGGCGTCTCCTTTTTGCTGATCTTGCTCTATTTTTGTCTTTCCCGAGTTTGCTTAGGCAGTAGGCAAAGTTATCGCTACCTCTACCTTCCGCCAATCTCCTGTTCATTAGATTTTTCTCCCAAGCATGTCTTCCGCTTCCTTGTGTTGTCACCATATGGGGGTCTTCTGTCTCTTGCCTTCCAATTGATCTCATGTGTTACGCTAGTTCTGATCTTTCGGTATCCATTTTGCTGCAGAGCCTCTCCTGTTCCTTGACTCGTGTGATAATTTTAATCCCTGTTTCGACAATATATTCCTGTTAGCAGGCGCCGCATGACATACAGTAAACTCCTTAACAATCCAATTTGTCTACCCTTTCATGTTGCG